ATTCGCCGATTATATATTTATTTTAGCTTCTAGTCTAGATTATATCCTAGAACGTAGCCTAGATTATATAACTTAGTTTAGGTTGTAGTTTAGGTTATAGACTAGATTATATAGCGTTGTTACCTAATTTTATATAGAGCTCGCAAGTTTATACTATATATATATTCTGCCGGCATATTTTTTTTACCAGCGCTCTCGATTTCCTATTCTTTATACAACGTCTTAATTCCCTATATAGTAACGTGTTTAGCATCTAATTAAAGCTTTCTTCTAAGCTTTTAAACTCCTACTTATAGCACTATTATAATAATAACTAAGGTAGTATTTTACTTAAAACTTATAGAACTTCTTATTTAAGTAAAAGTGCTTAGATATTTAGATGCCAGGGATTATATCTACGTATTTTTAAGGTTACTAAATACTTATATAGGCCCGAATAATCGCCTAATTATAGAGCTAGACTATAAAAAGGAATATTTTAAAGTAATATATTCTACTACTAAGCCGGCCAAACTACTAAGCCGGCTACTTTTCCTTAGTATAACCAATACTATATACGCGCAGTTAGTTTATTCGTAACTAGCTATAGAACTTATATATAATACACTTAGATTAGATTTAGAAGAAGCTTTTTAATCCTTTTTACACGTACGCGTATTATACCTAGCCTCTCTATAGTTTCTATAGCGCCGTTAAGCTAGTAAAGCCCTATTTATACTATTTCTACTACCTACCTTTTTCCGTGGATTAAATACTCTAGATACTTTAGCAGCTATATATAACACTGCTATACTATACTTTATTATACTGCCAGTCTGGATTCGCTTTCTTTTACAACCTTTATACTTAGTTATCTCTACTAGTTGCTTTTTAAGCTCTTTAACCCGGGCTTTAATAAGTATATTTTTATATAGTATTTTTTCGGCTCTTTTAATAAGCTTTAAGAAGCCTTTTTAGGCGGTTGTTAGTAACTATATAAAGGAATTGCTTACTAGCCTTAACTATAATCTAAATTTATATATATTGCTTAGGGTTTTTAATTACTATAGTGTTTTTAGTAGGGGTGCTAGTAGTAGGGTCCGTAACTATATATTAAGGCAATTAAAAACTACCTGCATATTAATAGGAACTAATCTAGAGGCCTTAAAGGCCTTTTTATAGTTCTTATATATAAACACGTTAAAAAACGCGTTTTTAAAGGCTAGTAGGAAGCCTTCTTTATTAATATAGTAAACGCGTTAGCGTGCTAAGTTTTATATACGTTAAGAGTACTTTAGCTTTAATAGCGAGAAGTATACTATATTAAGTAGCTAAAGTATATACGATAAATGCGCAGGTATATAGAGGGTAAGGATTTGTTATTTAATATAATAATTTTTAAAATCTTAGTTAAGGTGGCTTTTATAGCCGTCTAAAATTAGCAACCTATATAACCCTACCTAACGCGCCTTTATATACGTGTTAAAGTGCTTTAACTATTTAAGATAAAGCTTATTATTAGTCCAGCCGTTTTTAGAGATAGAAAGCTTCTAATTATATAGTATTTCTGCTTTTTTATACTATATAGAGATATAAACGCGTTTTTTATAGATAATAAATAGTAGGGTTATATATTCGGCAGCGCAGATACTTTAGATAACTATAACCTACTTTTAGTCGCCTAGTTAAATAAGATTAGGCCTTATATATCTCTTTAAACCTGTAATAACCTTTATTATACTAATTATACCTATTTAAAAGCTAGTTTTATTAAAGTTATAGATATTATCTAGGTAGATACTATACTTAGCTATAGTTTTTTATATAAGAGTAAACTATATATTAATAACCTCTAGGTCTTCCTAGAGTATCCTCTAGCAGTTCTTTACCTAATTAAAAGCTATTTTAAGCTCCTTTATACGAGATATAAACTATTAAGTCTAGTTCTTACCTACTAGTATTCTACTACGCGCAGCTAGTACTTTATCTGCTATATCTACCACCTTATATAACCGGGGCGCAAATCCTTATAAGTTTAGGTTAAGGATATATTATATAATTATATGCTTTTTAGTCGCAGTAAGCTTTAGGCAGTTTAGTTATAATTAAGGTTAAAATATAATTCTATAGAGCTAATTAGAGAGCCGCTAATATTATATATTAAAGGCTGCTGCAGCGCGTTATATAGTCCTAAATTAACTAGAGGTAAAGGCTTAAAGCGCAAAATTAATACTGCTTTCTTACTAAAATAAATAATCGCTGCGTTATTAATATATTGCTATATAAATATAGTATTAGTTATACTAAGGAAAAATAGCCGGCTTAGTAGTTTAGCCGGCTTAGTAGTAGAATACGTTATATTATAAGGTAATAGAGTATTTCCTAAGGTATATATACGACCTATTTCTTCTATTAGCTATAGAATACACTGCTAATACCTTTAAGTTAAGCCTTCTATTTTAGGTGCTATAATAGAACTATATTATTGCTAATAATTAGTTTAGTTTTTATAATTAGCAATTTAATATATTAAAAGGGACTAGCTATATAGGGCTTAGCTTTTCTTTTAGTAACGCTTTAAAGGTTTATAAATTTATTGCTAATTCTATTTATTTCTAATATAAAGTTCTTTCTAGTAGGAATATTCCTTAGGTTTTTATTAGGTATTAGAGGGATTTTTTAGGGCTATATTAAAATATATTGCAAGTATTTTAGAGGCTTCTACTACTGCCTATATAGAATCTCTTAATTATACTTTTTAAATTTACTTTAGAAAGGAATAAAAACGTATTAGTAGAGCTTTAGAAATATATATCTAACCTAGCTACTAAATCTACGTATAATTATAGAGAGCAGCTATTAGCCTTTACTAAAACCCTATATATTAAAGCACCGAACGGGGATTATTTAAGGTTTACTACGGATAAAGTATTATTTAGTCTAGAGCTTTATAGAAAGAGCGCCTGTTTAATAGGTATAAGTTTAATTACGCTAGAAAAAGTAGTAAAAGATGGTAATAGCGCGGCTTTTAAGTCTAATACAGCAATCTAGTATATAAGTTAGAGATTTATCTTTATAAGTAATAGCTACTACGGACTTACGCCGTATATTATATAAAAAGGAGATATCTGCTATATTATCCGTGGTTTATAGGTACCTATTATCTTAAGGAAAATAGATAAAAAATACTATTATAAGCTTATTAGTAAAGCTTTTATTCTTAGTATAATATAAGGCTAAGTTATTAAGAATATAGAAAAGTAGGGTTTAAAAAAGTAAGATTTTATTTTATACTAAAATTGCATAGGCCAGGGTTTTTTACTTAGGATTTCTTAGAAAGAAAATAAGGCTTTATTATATTACTTCCTTATTAAAGTATTAACCTTTTTATATAGTAATAATTATTAAGGAATTTATAAGTACTATAGTGCTATCCGTTAGAATTTTTAGAGGCTGGCAACTTATTATATAATAATTTACTGCCTTAAGGTAGCTGGATTATATATTAAAGATTTTTATTAATAAATATTCGAGAGAGCTCTAGTTATCGCGGAAATATTTTAAGTATACCCCTATAAGCTACTAAAATAAGTTAAGTAAAGTCTGTATTAAAAGCTATAGAAAGACTGCGCGCTAAGAATTTCTCGATTATAAAAACCGGAAGCTAATTATGCAAGCAAGTATATTATTATAGCTACCCGCTATTTATTTACTATTACTATAATCGCTAATATAGACTAAGCTAGCTAGGTGCTAGCGTAAGCCTTCCTTCTAAATATGCCTAGGATATACGCTTTCCTAGCAAAATAGGGTAATATTCCTTTTTCTACGCTCTATTATTATAATAAGGAACAACGCTTAATAAAGGGAAGGCCTAAAGCCAGCAATATTTTACCCTAGAAAAAGAATTAATAGGAGATTACTATAATCTAGAAATAATCTATAGATTTTTTAGGAGTCCTCTTTTATATTTAAATATACTTATATTAACCTATATTAAGCACTATATAAGTACTTATTAGTTATAAAAGAGATAACCCGTTATATATATATAAGGGCCTGGACCCGAACAGGTTTTAAAAGTAGATTATAGCCTTCTTGCAACCTATTATATAGGTACCTTCGCACCTAATATAGGGCTGCTACCTTAAGCTAAGTTTTCTAAACAGCCTATAATATTTTCTATTTCCTGTAGTCCCTTTAATTATTAAATGCGATATTTACTTCTTATAATTTTGCTGTAAATTCTTATTATTAACTATAGGAATATTTTCCGCTTCGGGAATTAAAGCACTTAGATTTTCTAGTATACTCTAATAGTATAGATAGTTATTTCCAATAACTTTTATATATTCTACTAGGGCTTTCGAGCATATTATCCTAGCCTTAGCTAAATAACCTTAACTTTAGAAAACTAAACTAAGGCCCTAGTTTATATTTAGTGCCGGGATATAAGTAGTAATATTTTCTAGATTAAGTACCTTTTTATATTTTTATAGTGCTCGCTTATATATTTTTTCTACTTTACTTAGCTTGCCCTAGTTTATATAGAGGGCACCTAAGTTATTAACTATAGAAAGTATTAACGTATACTTTACCCTAAATACTTTTTTCCTTTCTTATAGTACTTACTTATATATCTTCTCTACTTTACCTAGCCTGCCCTAGTTTTTATAGAGGGCGCCTAAGTTATTAACTATAAAAAGTATTAATATATACTCTGCCCTAAGTGCCTTTTTATACCCTTATAGCGCTCGCTTATATATCTTTTCTACTTTGCCTAGCTTACCCTAGTTTTTATAAAGGTTACCTAAGTTATTAACTA